AGGACAGTGTCACATGATTAAAAGGTAAATTGATCAAGAGGACATGGAGTATATATCTATACTCCTAATGAAAAGGGCTCAAAACACATAATTAAAACTCTAGTAGGAATGAAGACAAAAAACAAAAACCTCTAAAATTATACGATATCTTAAAAGTGGTATATTAGAATATCCTATAGAATAACTAGAAAGAAATACAACAGACACAGAAGAATTAAACAACACAATCAACCAACTTGGCCTCATAGACTTATACAGAGCACTCCACCCAATAACAGCACAATGCACATTCTTTTCTAGTACCCATGGAACATTCTCTGGAATAGACCATATGTCAGTCGATAAGGTAAGATTCAATATAGTTAACAACATCAAAAAATCACAATGCTATAAAATTATAAAGAACATGAAAATGAAATAACGCCCTGCTTAAAAGCAAAGCTGCTGCAAAAGACCTCTTTAAAGTGTTCAATAGCCAGGATGTCAGTTTGATGGCTAAGGTGTGCCTGATCCAAGTCATGGTATTTTAAATAACCTCATATGCATGTGAAAGTTGGACAATGAATAAAGAAGACCTTAGAAGAATTGATACCTTTGGCTATGGTGTTGGAGAAGAATAATAAAAGTACCGTGGACTGTCAAATAAACAAATAAATCTGTCTTGGAAGAAGTACAGCCAGACTGTTCATTAGAAGCCAGGATGACCAGACTTCATTTCTCATACTTCAGACGTATTATCAGGAGGGACCAGCCCCTGGAAAAGGACATTATGCTTGGTAAAGTGGAGGGTCAGCGAAAAAGAGAAAGACTGCCAATGAGATGGATTGGCACAATGGCAGCAGCATTAGGCTCAAGGGTAGCAATGGGTGTTTAGTTCTGTTGTGCATGAGGTTGCTATGAGTCTGTACTGACTTGGTGGCACTTAACAACATAAAATAATAACATAAAAGCAATTGGATAGAACAAATGTAAAAATGATTTTAAAATTCCTTGATTCAAATGAGAACAGAAATACAACATACTAAAATCTTTGTGACAGCCTCTACGGTATCCTTAGAGGCAATTTATATCAGTAAACAAACCCATCAAAAAAGAAGAATGAACCAACACCAACACATTAATGCAACATCTCCTACAATTAGAAAAATAGCAGTAAAGTAAGTCTACAGTCACCAGATAAAATAACTAATAAAGGTTAGAGCAGAAATAAATGAATTAGAAAAAGGGAAGACAATAGAAAGTATTGACAAGACAAGAAGTTGGTGCTTTGAAAGATTAATAAAATTTAAAAGCCAATGGCAATTTAACTGATTGGAATACCTAAAATGGGGCTACAACGTGACCAGTAAAGGAGGCTTCCTATGGAGCCTCTGCATTACATAAGACCATAGGTGGAATCCAGAACCAAATCCAGAATCTTCAGAGATGGGAAATTTCCACTTGAAAGGATGAGCAGACAAACCTGGAGTGGCTAGTAAAACAGAAGATACTTCTTAAATGAAAGACCTACAGGTAAAATACAAAACAGTATAGGCAGACTGACCATTACTACAAGAACAAGCAAGTTGCTTGCCCAGGAGACATCAAGGCAAGTGGCCGGGTTCCCTCAGTGCAAACCCCATTACAAGACTAAAACTTAATGGGAATACACACTCTGATTGGTGACCACATTCGTCACCAATAAGGGGAGGGAAAAACAGCAATGAAGCTGCAAGCTAAACCCTACAACATTCAATAGACTCCTGTGAACCTGGGTGGAGACTTGGTTGGCCAGCAGTGTGGCAAGACCTGGGGATTCTTGGGCCCAGAGTCAGTGACATAGCCACAGAAGACTAGAGTGGAGAGTGAAGTGTCCAGCTGATAAGAAGAGAGGGCGTATGCACAAGAACACCCACACTTGCAGATAATACCCACTTGACCTGGCTTCAATGACTAGGTGATCAGAGCTCAACTAGAAGAAGAAAGAAGAGGGAAAAAAGTAATCTGATACAATTTAATGAACTTGACCTACACTGATGGATGCAGTAGTTCAAAAGAGGGAACAAATCTTTACAGCAAGGATCATTCCCACCCCTCCATACACAGAGTAGATAGGGATGGGCAGCTTGGACATTGGCTACCCAAAATGGGGAGAGGGGAGCTACAAAGGCAAGAAGTGATTGGCTTCCAAGCTTTCAAGAGGGAACCTAGAGGAAGGTAGAATCTCCACTAAGTAGTATCCAATCTGTCTAGGTGGGGCTGATGAAACGAAATGCAGATAGGTCTCTTGTGATACAATAATGAATAATTGTTATCAAGACTGATTGTGAGGGTTGGAAATGTAAAGGTAGACGTTTTATAGCAAGGAGGGGAGTGATTAACTTTTCAGTCTAGGAGTGGAGGTCCCTGGGACCATCAAGGGAGAAGAGCAGAGAGCAGGACCCTACCCAGAGAAGCAGTGATGCCAGAGATGGAGGCAGAGACGATGACGTGGAGAGATGGAGCAGCTGGGGACTTTAGACACAGAGAAGTAAAAGGACTATGTGCTGACGACCGGGGGACAGGCTTACCCTTTTGTTGGTTGATGATGCATGGAGGGGACTGTAACCATGGCAATGTGCTGATATATGATAGGATGAATATAAAACTAATGTTCTCCCATGTAAACTATCACATAATTCACAATAGAACATTTAAAAACAAAAAGGCAAATCTGACAAAAGAAAAGGAAAATTAAATAACACACATAAGAAACTATATGGGTGACATCACAACAAAACAGTTTGGCAAAAGAATGATGAAGACAGGTGAAGTCACAGGCGGGTACACAAGGGCTAAAGGGGATAGAGTTATTCCACCTGGGATCTTGATCTGGGGTGGCCATTGCCTTATCAGTCAGATGCTGATTAGTGGCATGGCTGCTTTGTTATCTTGCAGCACTTATTGTGCGGTTTTATTCAACCTTAGTGTAACAGTATGAAATACGATCAGTATGTCTTTCCAGGTTAGATTAAAAAATTCCTACTAAAAGCAAAAATTCATCAATAAATTTCCCAGGGTCAATTGAAAAGTTTCCTAATTTGTCTTTATGAGTCTTTAAATCTCCCAAACTAGCCAAGCTAGCTGAGAAGGGAGGTTGCTGTTAAAACTTCTCTGAAAACCAACTGCTGAAAGTCTAAGGCGTTTTGAAAGGTGTTCTTTGGTTCTAGCAGATGCCTACTAGTATTGTCGCTTGTGGTTTCTGTTTCTCATATGCAAGACGTGTTTTTGTTATTGTTGTTGTTAGGTGCTATCAAATCAGTTATGACTCATTGTGACACTGGATAGGATTTTCAAAGAGTGGCTGGTGGGTTTGAACCACCAACCTTATAGTTAGCAGTTCAGGGCTTATTCAATAGCACCACACCAATAAGTGCCATGTTGTTTTTGTTAAATACCATAGTTGGTTCTAACTCATTGTGATCCTGTATAGTGTTTTTAATGAGCAACTTGTGGATTTGAACTGCCGACCCTGTGGTTTGCAGTATAATGTTTATTCAACAGAGCCACATCAGGAGTCCATAAGTTCAATAGTAGGCCCCTATTGTACTAGCTATGGGTCGGAATAGATTCGACGGCACTTAACAACAACAATTGCACTAGCACGATGTATATAGAAAAAGAATTTGGCATCTATTTTGAGATTTCACTTTTATTATATATATGGAAGGAGCTCTGGTAGCGTAGTGGTTACAAACTGGAATGCGAACAGCAAAGTCAGCAGTTCAAAATTACCAGTTGCTCTGCGTGAGAAAGATGAGGCTTTCTGCTCCTGTAAAGATTTACAGCCTGGGAAACCCTGTTCAGGGTCGCTATGAGTCAGAATCGACTTGACGGCACTTAACAACAATATATACTGAGACACTGGTTTATAAGATTAATGGCCCAACCTTTGCTTACCCAGAAACCAAACCTTCTATATTCTACTCTATATTAGATAGTGTCCAAAGTACCCTTTAGACTTTAAATCAAACGAATGTGAATGACAATTCAAGAGTAATTACATTAGGAATAGTGACTAGGACATTGTTCTAAAATGGACAATATCTTGGATATTGTTTAACTGTATTTTTTATCTCTAAAATTATTTGCTATGTCATATATTAATCATTTATCTATTATTTACTTATAAAAATAATTTTAAGATTGCTAGAAACAGAAGATTTGCATTTAGCATGCGATATCAGCATCTCTACCAGTACAGAAGGTTGCTCCAGATAGCTCCCAGTGACCAAAGCAGGGCATAGAGTGCACACATAAATAGGCATGTACAGTACATAAATAGGCAAACATTTACTTTTGATCATTTTGGAAAACAAAGAATAAACAGATAAATGAAGACATTTTTTGCATAGTTTTCAGTGTATCATGAATGTAAATAAAGCTAATCTTCCTAAAATATCAAATTTTTTGCCTAGTACTTTATAAGGCAAAAATTTCACTAGAATGGATACTTAATATAATTATTTTTCTAAGGGATTTTCTTTCTATACAGAAGTTCAAAATGGAACCAAGAAGCTTTTGAAATGTTTGATGTAAATTTCATAAAACAAAACAAAAAGTATCCTGTGTTGTTGATGTTATTATGTGCCCCCCAGTCGGTTCTGACTCATAGCTATCCGGTATAGGGATTCCAAGGAGTGGCTGGTGAACTTGCGCCTCAAACACTGCAGAAAACCAAACTTGCAGTTCAGTGCCATAACCTGCAAAACCACACCAGGACTCTAAGAACGTTATACTGGATTGAAAATCTGAAAAAAATTATACTATGGATAAAATAATAAATTATTTTTCTGGTGGTAAAGTTGGTGGAATAAAAAAGAAAGCACAGACTAGTATTCATCCTCTTAGATCTTCACTATTAAATGGTTTAAGATTTTTACAAACACTGTAGAGAAACAATAATTATTCATTAAATATTAAGATTTTATTATTTATTTTCATTATAAATTAAAGGATTTAGTCTTATATGACCTTCTATGCTATTTACTCTGCTTAAATACTGACACACTTCTCAACTTGAGTAGAGCTCTCTTCACTTCCTTGTTTCTCAGGGTGTACACAAGAGGGTTTAGAAGGGATGTCAGCACACTGTTGAAAATGGACACTACCACATCTACAGTATCCTTGGAGCCTGGCCTCAAATATATGAAACCACTGGGAACGTAGAAACAGAGGACCATGATGCAGTGGGCAGCACAGGTCTGGAAGGCTTTGAGTCTCCCCTCGGTGGTTCGGATCTTCAGGATGGAGCAGACAATGGACACATAGGAAAGCACTATCAGGAAGAAGCAGCCGGAGGCTACCAATCCGATGTTGACAAGGATCACCATCTCATTGGTGGAGGTATCTGCACAGGCTAGTTTGAGAATGGGTGGCACATCGCAGAAGTAGTGCTGGATCTGGTTGGGCCCACAATAGGGCAAACGAAATGTCAATATTGTCTGGACTGCAGAGTGAAACGAGCCACTGAGCCACGTGTTGGTTGCCAGGATGGCACACTTTCTTCCGCTTATCATACTTGTGTATCTGAGCGGATAAGTAATGGCCAAGTAGCGATCAAAGGACATGACTGTGTAGAGGAAACACTCAGTGCTGCCCAGAAAGTGGAAGAAATAGAGCTGGGAAACACAACTGTAAAAGGAGATATCCCTGCCCCCTGGGGTGATGAAAGTCATTAGCATTTTGGGCACAGTGACTGTGGATAAACACATGTCAAGGAAGGACAGGTTGGCCAGGAAGTAGTACATGGGGATGTGGAGGTGGGAATCCATGCTGATCACCAGCAGGATGAGGAGGTTCCCTATCACCGTGAGTACATAAATCACTAAGAAGATTCCAAAAAGGGTGGTATCCAGGGCTGGTGCATGGGGAATTCCCATGAGGATGAATGTTGTCACAACACTCAGATTTGACATTTCTTCTCATACATGGAGTTCTGTCCGTAGAGAAGGTGCCTTGTTGGTGTAGTATAGTCTTCAGCTGCTAACCAAAATGTCGATAGTAAGAATCTTGCCAGTTATAGTTAAATGCTTTTGATATGATTTGGACTCATAAGGACCCTATACATGGTTTCTGAGGCTTTTAAATCTTTGTTGTTGTTAAGTGCCGTTGAGTCAATTCCGACCCATAGTGACCCTGTATAGGGTTTCCAAGAAGCAGCTGGTGAGATTGAACCACTGACCTTGCAGTTTAAATGGCTTTGCAGTCTGGCATATTAACCCACAGCGCCACACCAGGACTCTTTGGGGCAGCAGAAAACCTCACCTTTCTTCTGCTAAGTGACTTACATTGTGGGGTCAAATTGCATACAATTGCAGTCCAGTGCTTATTGTATGAAGCCCAATAAGATGTGGAAATCTTCTTTAGAGATTTAGAGCCTTGGAAACCTTATGGGAAAGTTCTATTCTGTCTTATAGAGTCTCTATTAGTAGGAATCCATGTAACGTTAGTGCGTTTGGTGTTTGGTTTTTATCCTTATAGAAAGTGAGGGAAAATCTAGCATTTACTGATAATATAGTCAATACAGAAATGACATATTCTCTGGTGGAGAACACAAGGTTTTGGATTTTTTTTTTTTAACGTTTTATATTGCCCTATTCAAAAAGGTGACATTTTGAAGAGGAATGGAGGTTTCTTTATTTCAGTACCACATAAAATCACCTGAAGAGAGAAAAAGAGTAATTTGTATTCTCTTTTCTATTGCATTAAAAAGACATAACATTTCCCACATATGTACTTTTTTCTTCTTCTTCTTTCTTTTTGTATTTTGGTGGATTCTATGTACTTTGGTGGTATGGCTGTGATGCTGACGCTTTGCCACTATTATTTCAGATGCCTGCAGGACTCCTGTGTGGGACAGGTTTCAGTAAAACTTTCAGACTAAGATGAACTAGGAAATAATCTAGTTCTGAAAATAAACCTGTGAAAAACCTATGGATCAAAATGGGATGCTCTGAAACCAGTCATGGGTTTGGTACAGGACTAAGTAGAATTTTGTCCCATTGTGCATTTGATATCCATGAGGGGAAGCTGACTCAATGGCAATCAAGTAAACAATATATCCAGACACTCACGTATCCAATTATTGATAAGATTCTCCCAGGGATAATCCTTTATTCAATCATCTTTCTCTTTCTGTCTGACATATGCATATACAATTTTCAAACACTCAAATTCAGTCTTTTTGGTCATCAGAGAATCATCAGCTATAAATACAATTTTTAGAAGGAAACTTCCTCCTGGATGGCTAATAGAAAATTTATGTTGTTAAAATTTTGTCAGTAGAAGTGCCCAGGCAAGATCGTAGTAATGATGTATCATTACTCAGAGCTTTTCTAACATTCCCCTGTCTTAGCCCAGACCAAACTCACCTGAATATGCATGATATCTGACTCCAAACTCATGTTGTAACGATCAACATAACAATCATTTTTCTCCTACTCTCTTTCATGTTGAAAATGTCCATTATTTCCTCCTAAACATCTTAAGCAATTCATCATCCACTCTCTACATCTCAATCAAATCAACACACAGTACATTTTGAAATGCTCAAACAGGATTGGTGGTGGTGGTGGTGGTGGTGGTGGTGTGCCACCGAATTGGTTCCAACTGATAGTGACCTGGTATAGGGTTTCAGAGGCTGTAAATCTTTATAGGAGGAGAAAGCCTCATTTTCTTCCTGAGAAACAGCTGGTAGTTTCAAACTGCCAAACCTTGAGATTAGCAGCCCAACTC